CCTCTGCTTTTTAATATGCTGTCTAGGTTGGTCATAACTTTTCTTCCAAGAAGCATCTTTTAATTTCATGGCTGCAGTCACCATCTGCAGTGATTTTGGAAATGTACGTCAATGTAATAAAGGCCATATGACAAATACAGCTAACATCATACTCAATGGTGAAAAGCTAAAAGCCATTTCCTCTAAGATCAGGAACAAAACAAGGATGCCTACTTTTGCCCACTTTTATTCAACATATTACTGAAGTGTTTGCCAGACAACTGGGCAGGAACCAGAACTAAAAGGCACCCATAGTGGGAAGGAAGGAGTAAAACTGTCACCATCTACAGATGAAATGACGCCATATGTAGAAAATCTTAAGCAAAAGTGACAGTCGCTCAGTCATGTCCGACTCTCTGCAACCCCATAGACTATACAGTCCATGGAACTCTAGTGGGTAGCCTTTCCCTTCTCCAGGGGGTCTGCCCAACCCAGGGATCAAACCCAGGTCTCCCGCATTGCAGGTGGATTCTTTACCAGCTGAGCCACAAGGAAAGCAGATGACATGATACCATATGTAGAAAACCTTAAAGGTTCCACAAAAAAACTGGTATATATGAACTCAGTAAAGTTGCACACTTGCATACATACACACAACAGAATACTACTCAGCCAGAAAAAGGAAGAAAATCTTATCATTTGCAACAATATAGATGGACCTTGAGGGCATTATACTAAGCAAAATAAGTCAGAGAAAGACAAATATTATACAATTTCAGTCACATGTGCAATCTAAAAAATCAAACAAACAAATGAAACTCCTTGATACAGAGGTCAGATGGTTATCAGAGGAGAAAGCAGTTGAGAGGTGGGCAAAACAGGTGAAGGAGGTCTATTTTATGGTGACAAATGGTAATGAGATTTACTGTGGTGATCACTTTCTAGTGTATACAAAGACTGAACTATTATGTTTTACACCTGAAACTAAATACAATATTATATACCAGTTTTCCCTCAATGGAAAAAAAAAAGAAACAAAACAGTAAGCTATAATAATCATCTATTGAGGCAACCAGGGTTTGTTTTCCCCCCATCCCACAGGCTGGTGGTTCTCAAAGTGTGGTCCTCAGACCTAGTCAATCAGAATGGGTAGGCCAGGCATCCTGTGTTACAACAGGCTGCCCAAATGATTCTGATGCACCCTCGGGTTTGGGAACCCCTGCCACAGACCACACAATACGGGTACATCAAACCTGTCATCAGCCACTCCAAAGTAGAAATGTCTACTGCCTCGTTTGAATACGTTTAAAAAGAGAAGAACCTCAAGGTCGTGCTCATAGTTGGTCCAGGCCAAGGCACAACAGGCACAATTCTAATTTTCTACTTAGACTTTCTTACCTGGAGGGATATGCAGCCGATACAACAGTTTAATCTTCTCATTCATTTCTCCATTATACATAATATCTGCAAAATTAAAGGGGAGAGAGAGACTGAGCAGAGGCAAACGGGTCAAATCCAGGTGTCAGGGCACAGAGTCAGCGCAGAGAGGACACAGTGAGGCCGGTGTTTGTGACCTGACACTTCACCTCCCACCTCTCCAGACACAGTGTGTGTGAAAAGAAAATGGGAAAAGAGCCACAAGATAACCTTGGGAATCTCGTCTGGCCTTATAGCTTCGGAAAGATTTTAATTTTAGCTGCAAGAGTTAGAAACGTGGGTAGTGGGAGGGACAAATGAGGAGGCTAGGATTAACATACACACCACTATGTATAAAATAAACAACCAGCAAGGGCTTTTTAAAGTCCCACAATCACATTGGGCGAGTCACAGATCTATTTCATTGAGTGGATGTGCCTGCTTCACTATCCCTTTGTCTTGTGTTCACAGACACACATCCCGTATGAACTACCTGCAGAAAAGACCCACAAAGTCATACCGAGGCAGCTCACAAATGCTTTGAATTCGATAAGGTGGTCCATGTTTTCATCCAGAAGCCTGAAAGTCCTTTCGGCAAGGATTTCCGTGTGGGCCCCACAGGTCCACGGCGAGACGAGCTGGAATAGGCGTGCAAACTGCTGGGCGTCTATGCGGTACTGCTCTGCGTAGGGCCTGCTGGGGTCGTGGCGTGGGGCCATGGGCCAGGGCTGCTCCCAGTAGCAGCTCATCATGTGTTCTCTCTACCAGGAAGGAGAGGGGCCTGTAAGGGGCAGTGGCTCCCCAGGGAGGCCACACACGTGAAGGAAGGCCAAAGCCAATCAGGCCTTCTCTCCTCACTTGCTTTGCAAAATTATTAAGTAGTAAATAAGCAACATTAAAACACAAAAAATTAAAAAACTAACGGTTTCATCGCTCCCAACAAGACATGTAAAAGTTTCCGCTTATTACCCTGTAGTCCTTGCCTACATGAATATGTAATTTTGACATTTTTAAAATTAAGGTTTCTTTTTTTCACTGTAATTAAATATACTTAATCAAATTTACCATTTTAATAATTTAAAAAATTATTTTTCTATTTTTTGGGTCATGTGGCATGTGGGATCTTAGTTCCCTGACCATGGATTTAACCCATGCCCCCTGCAGTGGAAGCACGGTGTCTTAATCACTGGGAAGAACCCACTTTTGCAATTTTGAAATGTACAGATCAGCTATCATCGTTTTAATGAAAGAAGTCGTACAATTTTTATTCTGATATTTTAGCTTAAAATCATATTATTCAAAAGTTAAAAACTACTAGATAAATCTACAGGCTACAGAAGAAATTAGCAATGCTGGTTACCTGTGGGGATGGAAGACAGGGGCAGGCACCCAGATCAAGAAGCAAGCCTTTTTACTACATGCTTTTTTTATGTTGTCTGAATTTTTAACCACATGACTATATTAACAAGTCAAAAATTTTAAATGAAGAAAAAAAAAGGACCATTTGAAGTCTTGGACATAGACTGAAAACTAAAGCAATCAACACTGGCCCCATCACTGATCACTGAGGACCAGTTAGGCTCTTTAGAATGTATCTTTTACACCTGTGCTAAATCATCTCTGGGGACATTTTGGCTCACTGACTTGGAATCCTTTCACAACATCAGTGCCCTCTGCCCATAAGGATGGCAGAGAAACAAGTACAGATGCCCTAATATCCAAGTGCCTATGCTCAGATGGAGACCAAAATGCCATTTATAACTTTACTGCATATTACCAGCAGCCATGGTCCTCAACAAGCCTTTGCAGAACGATGAGAAGTACTGTAAAAACTTTTAAGTGTAAAATGAAGGTCTCGTAAATTCCCATTTCTCAAAACCCAAGACACACTGTGAATTTGCATGTATATCTTTGTCATCCTGTCATGCTAGCTAGAGGCCCTCAGAATCCTATCCAGAAGAACACAGTTATATAAGTTAAAGACCAGTGCAATCAATTTACACAGAATCCTAGAAGCCAATACAAAAATCAGCAAAGCATATGAAGAGATGATACAAGAAAGTAGACTATTAACCAATAAACTTACAAAAGGGTATGCAACCTCACTAATGAGTATGCAAATTTAAGTTAAAATGAAATGCAATTTTCTGGGACTTCCCTAGTGGTACAGTGGCTAAGATGCTGGTACTCCCAACACAGGGGGCTCAGGTTCAATCCCTGGTCAGGGAACCAGATCCCAAATATTGCAGCAAGAGTTCGCATGCCACAACTAAAGATCCCGCATGCCTCAATGAACACTGAAGATTCCACATGCCGCAACTAAGACCCAGTGCAATCAAATAAATAAATATTTTTTAAAAAACGAAATGCAATTTTCTACAAGGCTAGCAAAATTTTTAAATATCCATAATATTAAATGATAGCTGAGTGTGAAACATTAGGAAATGAACACTTTTAGACATCATCAGTGGAACTGAAATTTGAAAGATCTAGAATACTTTAGCAACAGTGACTGAAATTTGGTTTGAGCACCCCTAAGGAACCCATCCTACAAAACCAGCAGCACAGGTGTCTGGAGAAAGGCTCGAGGATGCTCTGCACAGCACTGTTTAGAAGCAGAAAATGCTCTGCACAGCACTGTTAAGAAGCAGAAAATGCTCTGCACAGCACTGTTTAGAAGCAGAAGATGCTCTGCACAGCACTGTTTAGAAGCAGAAGATGCTCTGCACAGCACTGTTTAGAAGCAGAAGAAACTGGAGACAAGATAGATGTCCCTCAGCAGGTGAAAGGTGACTAAAGTCTGGTTCAGCCCTACCATCAAATTCTGCTGTCACTAAAAAAGAATGAGAAAAGATCTGCAGATACTGACTTGAGAAGAATGTCCATGGTAAAAACTGCAGGGACTTCTCTGGAGATCCAGTGGTTAAGACTCCATGCTTCCAATGCATGCTTCCAATCCCTGGTCAGGGAAATAAGATTCCACATGCTACATGGTGTGGCCATAAAATTTTAGAAACTGCAGACCACTGTGTGTAGTACAATCTCATTTCTATGTGGAAAAAAAAGTAAGAGTGCATTGCTTGTGTGTGTGTCTACAGAGGGATACAGTAAAAACGGAAAGAAACCAGGGATGAGATTCACCATATACTGTTAACAGTAACTACTGTACACAGTGGGACTATAGGCATGGACAGGATATGACCCTTTAAATTTTGCTTAGTTATTTTTCTTTTTAAATAGTGAGTGTAGGTATTACTCTATATATTATATATATATTTTATATATATAGTATATAAATATATTTTTATATATATATTTTGTATATTTTTGTTTCAGTTTGTGTTTTTAAATTAAGTTTCAAAAATAAAAGTATTAACCAGAACACAGAATCAGGCAAAATAATATTAAACAAGCCAAATGCTCTCCATGGCCTGATAATCCATAAGTGAATAAATTTAGCTGAACATTAACAACAGCCGGTGAATCTCATTCCTGATTTCCTTCCCTTTTTACTGTATCCCTCTGTGGACACACACACGAGCAATGCAAGTGTGAGACAGACAGCTAGCAGGAAGCTGCCCCACGGCACAGGGAGCCCAACTCAGCACCCTGTGATGACCAAGGGGGTGGGGGGAGGGGGCCGTGTGCACAGACAGCCGGTGCATACTGGTACACAGCGGAAACTAACACAGGGGTGGGGGGAGGGGGCCGTGTGCACACACAGCCGGTGCACACTGGTACACAGCGGAAACTAACACAGGGGTGGGGGGAGGGGGCCGTGTGCACACACAGCCGGTGCACACTGGTACACAGCGGAAACTAACACAGGGGTGGGGGGAGGGGGCCGTGTGCACACACAGCCGGTGCACACTGGTACACAGCGGAAACTAACACAGGGGTGGGGGGAGGGGGCCGTGTGCACACACAGCCGGTGCACACTGGTACACAGCGGAAACTAACACAGGGGTGGGGGGAGGGGGCCGTGTGCACACACAGCCGGTGCACACTGGTACACAGCGGAAACTAACACAGGGGTGGGGGGAGGGGGCCGTGTGCACACACAGCCGGTGCACACTGGTACACAGCGGAAACTAACACAGGGGTGGGGGGAGGGGGCCGTGTGCACACACAGCCGGTGCACACTGGTACACAGCGGAAACTAACACAGGGGTGGGGGGAGGGGGCCGTGTGCACACACAGCCGGTGCACACTGGTACACAGCGGAAACTAACACAGGGGTGGGGGGAGGGGGCCGTGTGCACACACAGCCGGTGCACACTGGTACACAGCGGAAACTAACACAGGGGTGGGGGGAGGGGGCCGTGTGCACATAGCTGGTGCACACTGGTACACCAGCGGAAACTAACAACATAAAACACACTCCAGTTCTTTTAAAAAGCACACTTCTGGAATATATTAACACAAGGCACTGTTTCAGGTCCTGGGTGTGTCCCAGAGTAGCCCCTGACACCAAGTGTATGTTATATTGTTTCCGTCTCACTTGGAGAGACAAGACTGATAAAACTGTCCTCAGTTTCAGAGAATAAGGGACAGATGCCACCAACATGACCTAAAACACTGCTTTATAAATCTGGATGGGCCTTGAGGGCATTATGGTAAGTGAAATAAGTCAGAGAAAGACAAATACTATATGATCTTGTAAGTGGAATCTAAAACAATATAACAAATCATTCCAGTCATACAGAAGGATCAGATTCATGGTTTTACCAGAGGCAGGAGCTGGGGGTGGGTTGTAGAATAAGATGGTGGGGGTCAAAAGGTACAGATTTTCAGTTAAAAGACAAATGAGTCCTGGGGATGTATGTATGCCATGATGACTATACTTAGCACTGCTGTATGGTATATTCCAAAGTTGTTAAGAGAGCAGGTCCTAAAATTTCTCATCACAAGAAAAAAACCATTTTTGTTGTTTTGGGGTTTTTTTTTTTTTGTATCTATATGATTATACAGTGGAAGTGACAAACAGATTCAAGGAATCAGATCTGATACAGTGCCTGAAGAAATATGGACAGGCGTATTTTAACACTGTATAGGAGACAGTGATCAAAACCATCCCCAAGAAAAAGAATGCAAAAAGGCAAAATATCTGTCTGAGGAGGCGTTACAAATAGCTGGGAAAACAAAAGAAGTGAAAAGTAAAGGAGAAAAGGAAAGATATACCCATCTGAATGCAGAGTTCCAAAGAATAGTAAGCAGAGGTAAGAAAGTCTTCCTAAGTGAACAACGCAAAGAAATAGAAGAAAGCAATAGAATGGAAAAGACTAGAAATCTCCTCAAGAAAATTAGAAATACCAAGGGAGCATTTCAAAGATGGGCACAATAAAGGACAGAAATGATATGGACCTAACAGAAGCAGAAGATATTAAAAATAGGCAGTAAGAATATACAGAAGAACTATACAAAAAAGATCTTCATGACCCAGATAATTAGAATGGTGTGATCACTCACCTAGAGCCAGACATCCTGGAATGCAAAGTCAAGTAGGCCTTAGGAAGCATCACTATGAAAAAAGGTAGTAGAGGAGATGGAATTCCAGCTGAACTATTTCAAATCCTAAAAGATGATACTGTGAAAGTGCTGCACTCAATATGCCAGCAAATTTGGAAAACTCAGCAGTGGCCACAGGACTGGGAAAGGTCAGTTTTCATTCCAATGCCAGAGAAGGGCAATTCCAAAGAATGCTCAAACTACTGCACAACTGCACTCATCTCACACGCTAGCTAAGTAATGCTCAAAATTCTCCAAGGAAGGCTTCAACAATACGTGAATTGAGAACTTCCAGATGGTCAAGCTGGATTTAGAAAAGGCAGAGGAACCAGAGATCAAACTACCAACATCCACTGCATCATAGAAAAGGAAAGAGACTTCCAGGAAAGCATCTACTATTGCTTCACTGACTATGGCAAAGCCTTTCTTTGACTGTGTGGATCACAACAAATTGGGAAATTCTTAAAGAGATGGGAACATCAGACCACCTTTACCTGCCTCCTGAGAAATCTGTATGCAGGTCAAAAAGCAACAGTTAGAACTGGACATGCAACAACAGACTTGTTCAAAATTGGGAAAGGAGTATGAGAAGGTTGTATATTGTCACCCTGCTTATTTAACTTACAAGCAGAGTACATCATGACAAATGCTGGGCTGGAAGAAGCACAAGCTGGAATCAAGATTGCTGGGAGAGTTATCAACAACCTCAGATATGCATATGACACCACCCTTATGGAAGAAAGCAAAGAGGAACTCTTGATGAAGGTGAAAAGAAGAGAGTGAAAAGTTGGCTTTAAANGGCATCACTGACTCAATGGACATGAGTTTGAGTAAGATTTGGCAGATGGTGAAGGACAGGGAAGTTTGGCGTGCTGCAGTCCATGGGGTTGCAAAGAGTTGGACACGACTGAGCAACTGAATAACAAATGACATGATGGATGTTAACCTACTGTGAATCATTTTGCAATATATGTAATTCACTATGCTGTACACACTCAGTGCTGTATGTAGGTCAATTATATCTCAATGAAACAAAAAAAAAAAAAAGAATTGTATTCAGGCAAAAAAGAAAGATGGCTTTAAATTCAGAATAAAAATGGATTTCACTAAGTACACAGTGTTCATCTTTAATAGGAAAGAGTCTGTAAAAGAGACAGTCAGAGAAGACTGTTTGCTGTTAACACAGAGAACAGTCACACCTGTTCATCCCAGGCTTAGGAAAGGATGCAGTGAAGTTAAGGCACAGACTCTTTAATCCTTAATGAGAACCTATCACATATTTACTCAATGATATAAGGGTATCTCTGTGTGGCCCTTTTCCTGGGAAAATGAACCTCTGGTTCAAAAGACAAGAGACACATTCAAAATCCAGCTAGGGAACCTTATACCTTGCAATGACGCAGAGGGATGGGATGGGGAGGGAGGTGGGAGGGGGGTTCAGGATGGGGAACACATGTACACCCATGGCAGATTCATGTCAATGTATGGCAAAAACCACTACAGTACTGTAAAGTAATTAGCCTCCAATTAAAAACAAAAACACAAGCATTAAGATATATGAAGTCAGAATGGATGTATGTATATATATATGGTTGAGTCGCTCTGCTGTCCACCTGGAACTACAATATTGTTAATCAGCTATAAAAACAAAAAGTTAAAGAAAAGATTACTCCCTAATAAACATCCTGAACACCAAAAAAAACCTAATTAATTAATTAAATATATGAGGTCAGACTACAAAAGCCAAGGAAATTCAGAGAAGGCCGGGAGCAAGAGCTGAGGTGGGGGGACAGTCTGAGGGTTGTTCTGCGGGCGTGAGGATGACCCTGGTGCATGCAGGAGGTGCCTCAGGCTGTAGCACAAAACGAGACACCATGCCTACGATGCTGTTTCACTGAGATTTCTTCTGGAAGTGTTATCTTGAAACTGGCATTGTATTCACAGTTAACATTTGCAGTTAGCCCTACACAAACGAAGGGACTGCAGAGCTAACAACAAATACGAAAATAAATTTCACCCACATCATTCACAGAAAAGATAGAAATAGGAAACAGGAAATAGCTGTCTGTCTTTTTTAAATACTCGTGTATGGAAGTTTAATGATATGGTTAGTACTTAATGCAGTTTATTTTCATGATGAATTTAAAGCAATCTTTAAAGTTATATAAATTCAGATGTCTGATGTGTCTTATTCTCCCAAATTGAGAACCGCCAGCCCTAAAGAAATTAGACTCTTCATGCTAAATATCACCTCGGTTTACCTGCTTTTGTGTTTCTAGTATTCCCTGTTTTAACTCCTTGACAAAGAGAGGTGGGGCATGGGATACCAAGTCACCTTTGACTCTGTGTTTTCTCTTCATGCAACAGAGAAAACTATAAAACTTGAAAACCAATGATGTTTACAGGAGTCCTCATCACACATCCTGCTGATGGGGGGTGAGGAGTGCCAGCAACTGACTGAGCCAGCCTCATGTGTCAGTGACCACAGCAGGCAGTGACACAACAGCTACATGAGGGTCAGACCAGCTCTGTGGCTCCACTCAGAAGGACCTACACGCCGCCTGGGACTATTTCAAGTACCCAGCAATTCAAGTTCAGAAGCACCAGGGGCTCAGAGTCCCCACCAGAAGAGCTGCAGTGCCCTGGCTCCTCTGGGTCTGCCGCTGCTCTGGCTGGCCTGCGCTCTGCTCCGCTCGCCTTCACCGCAGAAGCAGTCAGGAGTGGGTCCACGGTCTGCCTCTTCCCCACGTCTATGGACTGTTTCGAGCAAGAAAATTTCTAGGAAGGCACTTGAAAATGGTCTTTGCAGGATGATGTAAGTAGCAAGAGCTGGGAATCCACCTAAATACCCAAATATTCAAAATACGGTGTACGGAATTAAGTATTGGGGCTTCCCGAGTGGCTCAGATGGTAAAGAAACTGCCTGTAATGGGGGAGACCCAGGTTTGATCCCTGGGTCCAGATCCCCTGGAGAAGGTAATGGCCACCAACTATTAAGCATTACCAACAGGACAAGTTGTAAAATGATTTAAAAATAAGATCAAATGGCAACATGAAAAAGTGTTAACAATAGCATCAAGGAAAACAGAACATAAATAAGCATCCAAACCAGCCTCACAAACAGAAAAATATGTATACACGTCTTGTAGGTGGTGTTATGAGTAAAATGTACATGAGGTGATACAGGAAACTATATTCAATACCTTGTAATAACCTATAATGAAAAAAATACATATATGTGTATAACTGAATCACTGTGCTATACACCAGAATCAAAGACAATATTTTAAATCAACTATACTTCAATTAAAAAAAATAACAACAGGGAAAAAAAAAGGATACCAGGAGACAGTTTAGTAAGAATCACTGTTGTGTCTGCGGCTGACTGGGAACTGCTGCTGGGCAGTGAAGGCTGCGTCCCCATCACTGAGGGCCTCTCGGCCGAGCACAGCAGCATTAATACCCGGGATCAGCAGGCGCCGTCCAGCCAGAGCTGCTGGCCGGGGCCGCCCCAGCCTCGTGGCCGCTCAGCAGGCCCACGCTGACCCTTCCCCACCGCAGGTGGACAGCCTTGGCTGCGGCCTGACTCAGGGTCTGTCACTTCCTCACCCCTCAGCCTCCTACCTTGAATAAATCGTAGAGTTCCTCCAGGTCTTCGGGAAGGATGGAGACCTCTGGGATAACGACCCGGAGCTCGAGGAAAGAAAAAACAGGCATGCAGTGAATTCTCTGCCTGCCCTGGAGGATCAGGGGGCAAGAGGGCGCATCCTGCTGGAGTGGACGCCAGGCGCCCAGATCACCCAGAGACGGCTTTCTGGCGACTTTCTCAGGGCTTCATCCTCAACCTTTCTCATTCAGACATCCACAACTCAGGACAAGCGTTTAAGTACTTGCAAAGGATCAAACACTAGCAAGGCTAGAGCTCGGGTGGCAAGTTCTGCAGCATAACCACCAGCGCTATAGGCCTGGACTTCCCTTCCCTGGTGGTCCAGCGGTTAAGAGTCAGCCTGCCCATGCTGGGGACGAAGGTTCGATCCCTGGTCTGGGAAAGTTACCACAGGCCACAGAGCAGCTAAGCCCGCATGCCACAACTACTGAAGCCTGTGCACCCTAGAGCCTAAGCTCCACAACGAGAGAAGCCACCGCAATGAGAAGTCCTTGAACCACAACTGGAGAGGAGCCCCCACTCACCACAGCTAGAGAAAAGCCCACGCAGCAATGCAGACCCAGCACAGCCAAAAATAAATGAATACATAAATGAAATTTTAAAAAAAATTATGTCTGCTCAGTCCTGTCCAACTCTTTGCAACCTCACAGACTGTAGCCTGCCAGGCTTCTCTGTCCATGGGGTTTTTCTGGCAAGAATAAATAAATATTGGAGTGGTTTGCCATTTCCTATGCCAGTAGTAATGGCCCCTAAAAAAACAAACAAAAGAAAGACTGCAGGCCCTCGGCACTGGGCAACTTCTATATTGTCCATTATTTAACCCCACATGATAAGTGTTGTTATCCTCATTTTACAACCAGGGAACAAAGGCTCACAGTAGTTAATTTGCTCACAGTCTGTCTGACTCTAAAACTAAATCCAGGCTGTTTCTCCACTAGCTCACTGCTGTCAAGCTGTCATTATTTGCTCAGTTGTGTCTGATTCTTTGCGACCCCATGGACTGTAGCCCCACAGACTCCTCTATCCATGGGATTTCCCAGGCAAGAATACTGGAGGGGGTTGCCTTTTCCTTTTCCAGGGCATCTTCCTGACCCAGCTATCGAACCCAGGTCCCCTGGATTGCAAGCAGAATCTTTACCATCTGAACCACTTAGTTGTTAATTTAATGCAAAAAAAAAAAAAAACAAACCTGCTCCTCTCCTGTCAGGAGCAGCAGGAGACCCAGTGCAGGTCAGCGCCTGGCCGCCGGGATCCAGGGCCGGAGGCGGCGTCTACTCACCACGTTCTGCTTCGTGGTGTCCTCGTGGCCCTGGAGGACTCGGATCCTGTGCCTGCAGCGCATGTGCTCGATCTGAGCCACAGACTGGTCCCCGAATTTCTGCAGGGGAGGGGGGAATCACTCGCTCAGAGTCCTCTCTGCATCCAGACAGCAAACAAGCAGCAGCCCCGAACACCTCCCTGGAAGTTCACCTCCCGAGAGACCTGGGGGTGGGGGCCAGTGGGCGGGATGGGGCCCAGGCACCTCGTAGGAGTCGCGGATCAGGTCTGCGATGTCGGTCACGGGACACGGCTCCTGGTCGTCAGAGAAGAAGGCGTGGTGGCTGCCAATCGGGGGTCCCGGGCTGTCCTCGTTCTTGACGTGGTCCAGAAACCTGGGCACATCAGACACCAGGAAAGCACAGGGTTACCATCCCTTCCCCCACCCTGGGCACCTCGCAGCCCCCACCACCTTCACAGGGGCCCCCAGACGTGGGCAGCAACTCTCAAACCGGCTCCCCAGTCTCCAGTCACCATGAGGAAGGCCAGGCCACTACAGCCACACTCGTTCTAGAGAAAAGGAGAAATGAGCGTGCAGACAGACGTGGCGACCCTGGAACCACAGGAGGGTTTCCAAGGTCTCTGGCTTCCCTGGTGGCTGAGACGGCGAAGCAGCTGCCTGCAATGTGACAGACCCAGGTTTCAATCCTTGGGCTGGGAAGATCCCCTGGAGAAGGGAATGGTACCCACTCCAGTATTCTTGCCTGGAGAGTCCCATGGACAGAGGGGTCTGGCAGGCTACAGTCCATGGGGTCGCAAAGAGTCGGACACGACTGAGCAACTAACACTGTCACTTTTCTGACTTTCCAGTGATGTAAATACTGTGCGTCCACAGTATTCTGAACAGGAACTTGTCATTTATCAGCCAGCTCGACCTCAGTTCCACATGTCCTTGGGCCAGCAGGCTTTGCCTTCACTGCCACACACCAGCCCCTATATGCACAAAACGTCCACATCCCCCAGCCGGCTTCCTGAGGCCCACGTTTCCACGTGCCCCCCCGCCCTCCTTCCGTTCAAGGTGATCGAAGGTCCATCTAGACTTAGGAGACTTGAGCCTGTTCAGAGAAAGACAGCAGTACCCTCACCTTCCAGCCTCTTGGTGGAGAGGAGCGAGGGAAGGTGGACAGGACGACAAGGTTGCCAGAAGGCTTGGCCCCAGGGCGCACAAGGTGGCAGAGTGGAGGGGAGCCCCACAGTGCCCACCCAACCTGCCGCCTGGCTCCCTGCCTCACCTGCTGAGGACCATCAAGGCCTGGCTGTCATCCTTGCTGCCACACAGGTCCTCGGCAGTGGCCTCCAGCACAGCCAGTCCCAGCTGGAAGATGGCCTTGATGCCGTCGTAGAAGAAGCAGTCGACCACGTTCACGGCACTCTCCAGGGGCATGATGCTGAGGAAGAGCGTGAGGAACCAGGACAGGGAGATGGACGCCAGGGCCGAGAGGTCATGCATGTGCTCCGCCAGCTCAGGGAGCTGCTCCTTGATGAGCTCCTCGAAGACGGACTGGTCCACCTGGGCCCCTGGGGAAGGAGCCACGGAGACTGGCTGGGGAGGGAGTCACTCCCTCTCAGATTAGAACTGCTCTGAGATACACAGAACCCTGACACAGGACGGGAGCCCAGGAAAGGACTCACACTTGGTTCACGGACTTCTGATGTTTGGACCGACGTGATTCAATGGGGGAAGGACAGTATTTTCATCTGGCATTTTCAAACACAGTGCTCCTATCTACAACAGCTAGGACATGGAAGCAACCTAGATGTCCATCGAAGTATGAATGGATAAAGAAGCTGTGGTACATGTATACAGTGGAATATTACTCAGCCATGAAAAGGAACACATTTGAGTCAGTCCTAATGAGGTGGATGAGCCTAGAGTCTATTATACAGAGTAAGTCAGAAAGAGAAAAACAAATATTGTATATTAATGCATGCATGTAGAATTTAGAAAGATGGTACCGATGAGCCTGTCTGCAGGGCAGCAATGGAGACCCAGACACAGAGAACAGACTTGTGGACAGAGTGGGGGAAGGAGAGGAAGGCACGAATGGAGAGAGTAGCCCTGAAACATACACACTACCATATATAAACAGAGAGCGAGTGGGATTTGCTATATGACTCAGGGAGCCCAGCTGTGCTCTGTGACACCCTAGAGGNACAGACTTGTGGACAGAGTGGGGGAAGGAGAGGAAGGCACGAATGGAGAGAGTAGCCCTGAAACATACACACTACCATATATAAACAGAGAGCGACTGGGATTTGCTATATGACTCAGGGAGCCCAGCTGTGCTCTGTGACACCCTAGAAGAGTAGGATCAGGTGGGAGGCAGCAGGGAGGGTCAAGAGGGAAGGGACATATGTATACCTATGGGTGATTCATGCTGATGTACGGCAGAAAACCAACACATTATTGTAAATCCATTACCCTTCAATTATAAATAAATAAAATAAAACAGTGCTGAACCAAGTGCCCACCTACATGGGCTGGGGGGGGGGCGGGGGGAAGGACCCCTCTTCCTACTTCAAACCATTCAGAAAAATACATATGAAATGTGCCATGAATTTAGGTATAAAAGCTAATGCTAAAAAAACATCTAAAAGAAAATACAGGCAAAAGGCTAAAACTTCTTAGGACACAAAAGCATTAACCGTAGAAAAATTATGAATCGGATTTCATCAAAATTAAAGACTGGCATTCTTCAAAAGAGACCATTCATAAAATGAAAATGCAAGCTTCAAACTCAGAGAAAATATCTGGCAACTATTATCTGACAAAGATTTTGTAATCAAAATAAAAATAAAGAACTGATGCAACTTGATAATAAGAAATCAATAAATCTTTTTTTTAAAAAAAAAGCAAAAGATTTACACATTTCTAAAGTGACAAATGGCCAATAAGCACAGAAAAATAGGTGCAACATCATTAACAATGATTAGAGAAATGGAAATTAAAATCACCATGATATACTACTCTCACCCATCAGAATGGCTAAAATTAAAAAGACAGAAAATTCCAAGTATAAACAGATATGGAGCAACTGGAACTCCCATGCATAGCTGGTGTGAGATAATGTGAATACGTTTTGTCCATTTTGGAAAAATGACAGTTTCTTATAAAATTAAGCACACATCTAACTATGACCCAGGAATTCTACTCCTGGGTAAAGCCTAAGAAAAATGTCAATATATATTCCAAAAAGACTTATACACAGATGTTCATTGGGACTTAGAAACTAGAAACTCCAATGACTGGGATGAAAGAATCATGGTGTGAACGTACCATGAAATAGCACGCAGCAATGAAAAGGAACTGCTGATGCACCAACAGTATCTTGAGTGAAGGAAGGCAGAACATTCTCTACTATTACATTTATTCCAAGCTCAAGAACAAGTCAAGTAAACCTGTGGTGACAGAAATCAGTACCAGGTGTTGTGCGTGGCAGGGAAGAGGAGGCAGGGAGCTTTGTGGGTTGTAGAAATGTTCCCTGTATTGGGGCGGTGGTCCCATTATCATGGAGGGTCCCCTGGTCACTGCTGACTACCATCTGTCCCATCACCCAGTGAGGGCTTGGACAGCAGGCCTCCCAGTGACCTCGAGGTTCTGGTTACTCCTTGCTGCTCTGTACAACATTAAATACCTCCCTTGATATGAAGGGAAGAGGGAAGCAAACCAATTAGCCACTCAAATACAGGAAGGGGGCCAGGGAAGACGGTCAAAGGCCACCTCCTCCCAGCCCTCCCGCCCTCCCTCCCAGTGCTCATAATACTCCCTCAGTTCTTAGACCTCAGTCTTCAAGCTTCTTCCTGCCTTGTCCCTACATCCAGTCCTTTGCAAATTCCATCTCAAACTGGTTCTTCTGTTTCTGATCCCACGGCTGCCAATCTAAGTTTAGGCCATTTCCACCTCTCATCCTGGATTACTATCAGGTGTCCCTAAGAGTATCGCCCGGCCAGAGCAATTTCCGTGTCATTTTCTCCACAAGGAGGTAGCTGGGTCACAGAGAGGGTGCAAATTCAAATCTCAACCACATGAAGGTCAGCGGCGGGCATGCCTGGGCACTGAGAGGTCATACACAGGTTTGCCCAGAGCCCGGGTGGTCACAAACGCCCTTTCTTATCATCAGCCTGGATAAGGGAGGAGTTCTCCTCCTCTGCCCTTTACATCGGGCCCCACGGGTCTCCATTATTGCTCAGCTCCCTGCATCTCCTATCTGCGCAAACTCCCTGGAGACCAAGAAGGAGAGCTCCTCTCTTTCCAGGCCTCAGCCATCAGTGAAAAACCTCTTTGGTTTTCACTTTTCAACTTGCTTTTTGAACCTAGGAATTTTTCTTTCCTCAAGTTCAGCTATTCACACAAAATAATTTGTTCTTTATCCAAAATCTGTAAGAGGGGACTTCCCGGGGGTTAAGACTGTGCTCCCACTGCAGGAGGCATGGGTTTAATTCCTGGTCAGAGAACTAAGATACCGCACGCCACACAACGCAGCCAAAAAATAAAAATCTATAAGAGTTTGTGGCAAAAAAGCAGCTGGGTTACCACATTCCACCCTTTTGCCAAAACTGTGCTGAGAGTTACATCAGTTAGCTTTGAAGATTCAAGAGTCAGATGGTGCTGGTGCAGGACTAGCCGAGTCTCTTGATAACCACCCCGAGTGACAGACGGGAAGGGAGGAGACAGTTACCAATGACTCGGTGGTTGAAGTAGTCAGGCAGCATCCGCTCACACACGGCCACCAGCAGCCAGAAGGCTTCCTCCTCCTTAGCGTACAGCAGCAGAACGGAGGTCAGGATGTTCATGGACTGCTCAGGGGATTCACAGGGGAGCGGACAGTTACTGACCAGGTCACATGCACCACAGAGACATTCACCAACACACAAGCCCGTGATCCACAGAAGTCCAGACCACACAGATGAGAGATGCAGTATACCCAGCCAATCAAGACTGAGCTGGAGTGACCACAGTTATCAACGTGGGCCTCACAAGACCCACTGGGCTGAATCATCAGCCACTACTTCGTCCCTGGCCCCAGGAAGTGATGCTGGGCTGGGCTGTGGAGCACGCCTTAGGCTCAGAACCCACCCCCACCAATCTCTATGTCTATGTTTAGATTTAAAAATAATCCTGATGACTTCTGTACGGTTCAGAGGTAGGACGTTCCACAGCGGCTTCATCAATGCCATCCTGCGGTGGAGGCTGGGAGGCCATGAAGGCCGAATGGCCTCCTGAGGACAGGGGCCAGCTCATGCCACGCTCTCCTGGGCACTGGCAACACCCCTCCCACATCATCAGCTGGTCGGCCTCCACGAGGCTGACTCCCTCACAGGGCAGTCGTTGGTACAGATGGCTAAAAACATGGCACCCGAGGCCTGGGTGGTTGGCCTGAGACGGCCCTGCAGCGCACAGCTCACCTGGCAGTACCCGATCTTGGGGTTCCTGTGGGCGTAGGCCGTCAGGACTCTCCGCAACGCCGCGATGCCCGTTTCGTTTTGGAAGGCGGGGTGCTCCGGCAAAGAGCGGTGCAGGTCCCTCTCTATCTCCTCCGTCACCAGGCAGCACTTTCCCATGGACTCCTCCACCAGGTTGCCGTAGTAACCGGGATGTGCGGCAAGGTCCGTGACGGCATCTGGTGATTTACAAGTAACATTTCAATGTTATGTGGAAGCCTGGATGGGAGGGGGGTTTGGGAGAGAATGGATACATGTGTATGCATGGCTTAGTCCTTTGCTGTTCACCTGAAACTCTCACAACACTGTTAGTCGGCTCTTCTCCAATATAAAATAAAAAGTTTTTTTTTAAAAATAACATTTCAAGGGGGGCTGATTTCTGGGAAAGAGTCCACATGGGGAGGGGCCTGTCCTGCCGGAGCACTTCAGTGAGGTCTCACTATCTAAGCAACACAAAATAGTTAAGACCCCACACAACCAAAAGGAATTTCACTTCTGCTAAAAACAAAAAAGAAAGGAAAAATGAAATAATATAGCTTTTCTAAGAATAACCTTGCAGAGAGAGGGGGAGAAGAGCTCATACTAAAAATAGCTTTATACTAATATACTTTTAATCAGTTGTACTCCTCAGGAACAGATGCATGCATGTGGCCTATCTGCCACAACTCGAGAAAGCCCGTGTGGAGCAACCAAGACCCAGTGCAACCAAAGATAAAGTACAAACTAATTAAAAACAAAAAGCTATGGAGCACATGTTACGAGGAACAAACAAGGAGCCCCAGCCCCCGAAGGCTCCCAGAAGGGTCTCCGAGGAAGGTGGAGCCCTGGCCGCCACCCTCCCAGCACACCCTGGACCGCAGGGCCTCCCTTCCCACTGGCGGGGCCCCGATCCTTCACCCAGGGGCACCACACGGCTCACAGAAGACACCTCCAGAGACCGTGGCCCCAAGCTCAGCCCACCCACCGGCGAGCGTCAGATGGGAGACGCCCCACAGCTGCAGAGGGACAGTCCCAGAGCCGGTGAAGCAGGAGGAGGATGCGGGCAGGAGAGAAGCCCCCTCGGCTCCGTGTGCATCCCCCGAAGCAGGGGGACCAGGAGGAAGTGTCCCCAGAGGGAGCTACTGTAAAGCACAAAGTGAACGACTTCTGAAGATGTTTTCAGGTCTCTAGACACTGCACATCCAGGGGGTTCTGAACAGAATTCTGAGGACGATGAAGAGACTCATAAAATCACTGCTAAAGGGGAAGCGATACCTCTGCCAGACCTCACGCTGACCGGGGACCCCAGAGCCCAGAGGCTGCAGCAGCCTGGCCCACAGTCCCCACAAGAAGGTCCCAAGGTTCCGGCCGGGCAAGTCACAGGCCGAGAGGACCCGTCTGCACGTGCGCACACACGTGCACAAGCACGCACGAACACACACTCCCCGGCCCCCCGCCGCCACAGGTCAGGGCCTCTGTCCTGTGTCTGCTCCAGAAATGAAAGTTGGGCCTGGAGACCCCAGAAACCCTCACCTGAGAAAAGAAGCCAGAGTCTGCCGCGCAGGGACTCGGGGATCCCCATGGCCACCAGCTTCCGGATCTTCTCTGTGCGGAACATGCACACTGTCCTGCCGTACTCCGCGAAGTGGTCGTTCCAGAGGCTCACCTTGATCTGTTCCCTGGACTGGAAGCGGAAACACGCTCGGCGTACGAAGAGGCACCGTCCACAGCCCACCAGAGGGCGCTCCCTCGGCTGAGAGAGCACCCACCTGTGCCAGGCAATTCGCTGGGCAGGCAGCTTTGAACGTCCACCAGCATGCGGGACGTGAAGGTCACTAGCCCTTCAGGAATTCAGAGCCCCGTGGGAGACCTGACCTGAATAAGATGCCATTTCCTTGGCAAAGCTGACAGTAAGAGTGTGCTCATCTGATCTGCTCCTGCTGCTGCATCTGAACTACTAAGGGAACGCAAAGCTGATGGAGGGGGGGCGCGGCGGGGGCGGGTGAGCCCCTCAGGATGTCCACAGCAAACCGACAGGTCAGCCCAGAGGGCAGAGGGGAGCCAGGGGCTCTCGTGATTTGCCGGGAACTTCCTGACAGCCAGAGGGAAAACTGCCAACTGGAAAAAAATGACTCCGTTCTCAGCAGCAGAGATGAGAAAGAGACATGTCTCTAGGCAACAGGAAATCCTTTCAAACTATGAATTTTGAAAATCCTTTAGAATTCCTAGCTGGCAGGAATGTTTCCGTGCCTTTTAAACAAGAAGTTTATGTATGCTCTTAATTATCTGTATTCTCCAGTCATGGGAGAGGTGCACACATATAGTCAATATTCTTACTCGTTTAAACAATGGGCATTCAGTGAGCATCTCTGAACAGCACATCAGAAGGCTTCACTCTGAATAAATAAAGCTAACAATCCGTGATACACCAGCCATTAAGCGGCCAAGGGGCAGATATCCTGTTCACAGCCACCTGGTACTGGCGGTGCCCACACAGTGTGCCTCCAGCCAGGGCACCATCTCACAGTTCAGCTTCCTAGTCTATTTACCATTGCCCACAGAGTCTCCCTGTGGAGGAGAAAACAATCACAAGTGTAACCAAGGTATTTTCAGTTTAGTAAAAGTAGAAAACAGCTAGGGGCCAAAAAAGCAGCGCTGGACCTAGGAGTCCCGCTGACACCACTGGATAAAAGGAGACAGACTTGTTCTGCACGTGGAAACCCCACCAGGAGAGCACAGATAGATGCTCCCTGAAGGGCGAGTGGAATGTCACTGCCCCCCGACGTCCCACCACATCCTCCACCCACCCGGAAGCGTTCAGGCCACTGGCATCTCTGATCCCTTCCACTTTTTGCCAATGAGGCGAAGAGGGCACGTCATCGGTGCCCAAGTTGCCTAGTAACCTGTGTCAGGCCCACCCCAGGAGGGGCCTGGAAGCCACGCCCCACCACCTCCACGTGTGGGGGCGGAGCCACGTCGCTCACCAATCTCGAGTCCGGGCTCTGGCTGCCCGACGGCCGGAAAGCCTCAGGGTGCATCCGTGGGCTCGTTTCTTTCTCCCTTTCCTCGCTATTTTGCGAAGACACCATCTCAAGACCCCCAAACCTGTGGTTGCCACTGCACAAGCTTGTTGAATGAAACACAGGTGAGGTCTGCATGGGAAGGAAAAAAAAAAAGAATGACAGAGAAAGTCACTGCTTTAGTTACGGGGCGGTCTTTGTCTTTGGGTGTGTGAGCATAATAAACTTAAACATGCCTATCTGCTTGGGACTTACAGGAAAGGCACTCTAACACTAGACCCAACGGAGTGGATCCTCAAGAAGGAGCCTGGTCCACACGGGGCTTTCCCAGAGCATGGCCCCACGCGGGGCCAGGAAGGAGACATCGCACCCTCAGCATCTAGAACTGAGGACGGGCATCTGGAGAAAGCAGCTCTAGGGAACTGAAAGACCTCCTCTCCTTTCCTCCTGTCACTACTCAGATGAAAAGAGGTCCAGAAACAAGGAAGAATTAGGGACTAGGTTCAGCAGATCTGGACCTACTGTGGCAGCTGTCCAACCTTAAAGACAGTGAATCATCTCTTTGGGCAATTTACATCTGTCCCCAAATACTGTAACATCATCCCCTCCAGTCTCAGGGGGATGAGGGCACTGACCTAATAAAGAAGGTGTCCACTCACCTGTGTGTTGATCCCCATCAATCCCTCCAACCTCTGAGAAGATGGCCTGTTGATCCCTGACACCTGAGTGTATCCCCATCAACCCCTCTAACCTGTGAGCCCCATGAGCCCCTCTAACCTGTAGGTGAGTCCCCTTCAACCCCCTCTAACCCTGCCATACCCACTCAGGACACCCAGCGCATTAAGGATGATATCAGATTGTCTGCTACCCAGGTCCAGTATCACTAACATTTTTCTGGTACCCAAGTGGGTTATCATTACATGCACTCCCCTTTAAAGACACCTGCCCTAGAGGTGCTGGGGGAAAAAAAAAAAGGAATTTTCAGTTTACAGACTCCTGCTGTCTCCAAGGATCATACCAGGTCCTCATCCATGGTGGTGTCATAGCGCACAGGGTGGTCGGCATGCACCAGCTTCAGTCTCGCCAGCAGACCCTCCACCAGGCTGTCACGATCCCTGAGCTCAATGAACTGGAAGGCCATCTTACTCCGGATGCTGACGATGATGGGGTTCGGCAGCAGACTGGTGTCCTCCATCTTCTCGATGCTCACAACCTGTTGCAGACAGTCACGCACACAAAGGCACAGCAAAGGAGAAGAGGGGCAGGTGCTCAATTGCAGGTTCAGAAAACAGAGAGAGAAGGACAAACCCAATAACTGCAATAAGGAACCAATACAAAGTGAGAAAGGATGGGATGTGGCATAGTCACAACAGCCCAAAGTGGGAGTAACTCAAGTGCCCCTGGCTGGATTAACAGATGAGAACATAACCAAAACATGGGTCGACACAAAATGGAACACTATTCAGTTTTAAAAGGGATGTATATATATATATATATATATATTTTTTTTTTTTCGCTGAACTATGTTGCATACAGGATCTTAGTTCCCTGACCAGGAATTGAACCTGTATCCCCTGCATTGACAGGCAGATTCTTAACCACTGGACCCAAGAAGTCCCAGAAAGGATGGATATTCTGACAAGTGCTGCAGTATGCATTCACCTTGAGGGCATTCTGCTAAGTGATACAGCCAGTCACAAAATGACAAATTTTGTAGGATTTCACTGATAGAAGAGACCTAAAGAGGTCAGGGCTTCCCAGGTACCTCAGTGGTAAGGAATCCACCTGCCAATGCAGGAGACGTATCAGACGCAGGTTTGATCCCTGGGTCGGGAAGATCCCCTGGAGGAGGAAATGGCAACCCACTCCAGTATTCTTGCCTAGAGAATTCCATGGTCACAGGAACGTGGCAGGCTACAGTCCATGGGGTTGCAAAGAGTTGGACATGACTGAGCACAGGGGAGTCAGGATTCACAGAGGCAGAAAGGAGGGTGGTGGATGCCTGAGGCTGGAGGAGAGGGATTTGGGGTGCTATTGTTTAATGGGGACAGGTGTCAGTTTGGAAAGATGAAAAAATTCTGGTGATGGTTGCACAAAATGTGAATGTACTTAATACCACTGAACCATAACACTTAAAAATGGTTAAAATGGTAAATGTCATGTATATGTTCAGTTCAGTTCAGTTGCTCATTTGTGTCCAACTCCTTCAACCCCATGGACTGCAGCACGCCAGGCCTCCCTGTCCATCACCAACTCCTGGAGTTTACTCAAACTCATGTCCATTGAGTTGGTGATGCCATCCAACCATCTCATCCTCTGTTGTCCCCTTCTCCTCCCACCTTCAATAATTCCCAGCATCAGGGTCTTTTCAAATGAGTCAGTTCTTTGCATCAGGTGGCCAAAGGATTGGAGTTTCAGCTTCAGCATCAGTCCT